CCATCTTGGTTGGCAGTTAATTTGCATATTGTCCTGATTAGCCAATGGGAAGGGTAGCGAAGTTAGGGTTAATTACCATGTTTCTCTATTATTAGATAGGATTGTTTTCAAAATTATGAAAGGAACACATACTTAAAACCTGCAAACTATAAAAAGCATAAAGGTAAAAAAAAAAAGAGAGAGAGAGAGAGAGAGAGAGAAAAGGTGGGAATGCCTAGGATCATTGGAAACATGAGCATATTTCATACACTTAAAGCTATGGATTATACCGGTATTTATAAAAAGAGTGACATACTAACCTCAAGGTTTGTGCTCTTACTTTTACAATATCTGTAATTGTTCCTTATCAGCACTTATGGATCTATTTTATTCCTTTTGAAAGCTACATGGTAATATGTAGTATAAATGTTCCACAACTCAATAATGACCCTGTTGGTGCTACTATAGAAATTACTATTGGTGGATACTATACTGCTTTGAACAGCCTTATACGCACATTTTTGCATACATTTATCTGTAGAATATATTCTTAGAAGTTGAGTTGCTGGCTCAGATGATAAATGAATTTTTAATTCTGACTGATATTGCCAAATTGTCTTCCAAAGAAGTTGTACCAATTTGCATCTTCACTAGCAGTGAATAAAAATGCCTGCTTCCCCCAATCCCTTCTAATACAACATTCTAAAATATTTTTGAATCTTTGCCAACCCGATGATTCAAAAATGGTATCTGTGGTTTAGTTTGCATTTCAGAAATGGTATTTCATTGTGATTTGATTTGCATTTCCTTAACTATTTCTTTTTCAATGAACCATATACTTATATATTTGGCTCATTATTCCAATGTGTTGGGTTGTTTTTTTTCCTAATTTGTAAGAACCCATTTGCTTATCAAGAAAATGAATGCTTTGTTACATTTGTTGCAAGAATACTTACTCAGTTAATTCAACCTGTGAATTCACTTATGGTGCTTTTATGATGTTAAAAGTTCAACTTTGCAACTTAAAATGTATGAATTGTTTAAAGGTTTATAGTTTTATGTTTTTCTTAGAAAACATTCTCAATATTGTAAATATAAAAACAAAGTTTTCTGTGGTTTTTATTTTTTCATTTTAATGTTTAATTCTTTGATCCATCTGAAAGTGTTTTGGATAAAAGGATTGAGGTAAGGGTACACTTTGATATTCTAAAAACCTTAAACCAGCTATAATACTCTATCACATCCTCATGATTTATCACATAGCAAAATCCTTATGTAATTTAGTCTATTTCTTGACCTTATTCTGTTCCATTGTTCTGCCTGACAGAATCAAATTCTCTTGGTTATTGTAGCTCTATAATATATTTAATATACTGAAAGCTCTCTTTCATTTTTTCTCCTTTTAGTATTTTCCAGGTATCCTTCATGCTTATCTATAATTACAAAAGGGTAATATGCTAATTAGACCAGATGTCCTTCCGAACAAAGCCGGGGCTGCACGGGAAGCCCAGGTCCTGGGTGCCAGAGGGAAGCTGGTGCTGGCCGCAGTGGGTAGGAAGGCCTACTCTTGCATGAATTTCATGCATCGGGCCTCTACTTTTATTGTAAAATGTTTAGAATCAGCTAAATTGAAATTTTAGTGATATCACTATAAAGATTGTTTTAAATTTATACATCAATTTAGGAGAAATTAATACATTTTAAAATATCATCTTCTTACTACTCCCCAAAAGAATATATCTTTCCATTTGTTAAATTATTCACTAATGATCCTCAAAATAATTTTAAAGTTTTCTTTACATGGATCTGATACATTCACTAGTGGACTGGTGCATGAAATTTGTGCACATTAAAAGGAAATTAATTAGAGGAAATATTTTAATATTGCTATTTGCCCTTTCTCTATAATAGAAGTATCAGAGAAGAAAGAAAATTAGTAAAATGTATATGAAAATCT